CCTCCCGACCCCGGTGCCCGGCCGGGCCCGGCGCCCTCACCGCAGGCCCGAGCCGGGTGACCTCACCTCGGGCGGGAGCCGGCGGCAGCGGACGGCGTCGTGGGGCTCAGCGCATCCTGGGGTCGCTGGGAGCCGGGAAGCGAGGCCGCGCGGAGCCCGCAACGAGTTATATAACCGGCAGGGGCTGCAGCCCGGACGGAGGCGGTGGCCCGCGGCACTTCCGCCTCCCGCGCCGGGCCGGAGGCGCAGACCGGAAGCCCATTGGCCACCGGCCCCCACGTGGGGCGCCGCCTCCTGACGCCGACGCCGCCATCTTAGGAGCGGGCAGGCTGCGCGAGGAGCCGGGCCGCAGAGAGCCGGCGACTCTGGCCATGGGCGTGGGAGCTCGTCTGCTGGGGCCAGTGAGCCTCTGAGAGCCGGCGGAGGCGCCGAGTCAAGGCGGACCAGCCCCTGAGCGCCCCCGAGCCTGCGGGCGTGGACGCGGGTGGCGCGGCCCCGGGTGGGAGCCGGCCGGCTCGGGTTCTTTGGGCTCGGCTGAGCGCCGCACGCGCAGACGGCGGGCTCCCAGAGACGGGCGTCGCTCACAGCCCTCCAGTTCTCGGCCAGCACTCCCCTCGTTTGGGTCTGGGGCTTGGGCTTGTCCTAGTGTCGAGCCAGGGAAGCGTGATTGAGTGATCCACCCCGAGCTGGCGGGCAGCACCACCCGGCTTGGCAGAAAGACAGTTGAGGGTTGTCGCTGAGGGTTGACCCCTGTGGGCAGGGGTCAGTTGCCCTTAAGTTGCAGAAGGGTTTATGTCACATGATCTAACTCAAATTTTGTTACTAGGGAACCCATGTTGAGAAAATGGGTTATGAGAAAATGATGTTAACTTTAAAGCAGCAGTTTACTCTCTGCTTTCAAATAACTTACAATGGTCCACATAGCCAAAGGATGGATAAAGACCTGCTTACAGCCAAAGGCCAAAATGATCAACGCTAAAAGGATTTAATTCATATCCAAGAGAATAAACATTATCACAGATTAAAACAGTCTAAATAAGACTATCTTAGAAATGTTAAAAGCGTATTCTTTTGAATAACATTTTGACAAGGAAAAGTTACCTGAAAAGATCAGAAGTTTTAAAGGTAATTGGTATAAATAGATCAACAGTAGTGTAACAAGGCGATATAAAATAAGGATCATCTATTGTGTACATAATGTGATGTGCAGTGGCTGGTGGAAACCTGATTTGTGTAAAGCAACCTGTATTTATATTTCCTTTTTTATAACAGTTTCTGTAAGTTCCTATTTTTTAAAAAGGCTGAAAAATCATTTGCACAAAATGAAGATCAATATAATACTATTTACAACTCTATAGAGTTACAGGTTTAAGTACTGCAAACATGCTATTGTAAGCAAAGATGCTGTGGTAAACCGTGTTTGGGCCCATTCAGAACATTTTGAGCAGTCTACACAATATATTTAGTGTGTCATTATTAAATTATTTGTAGGGCCGGCCCCGTGGCTTGGCGGTTAAGTGCGTGCGCTCCGCTGCCGGCGGCCCGGGTTCAGATCCCGGGTGCGCACCGAGGCACCACTCCTCCAGCCATGCTGAGGCCGCGTCCCACATACAGCAACTAGAAGGATGTGCAGCTATGACAGACAACTATGTACTGGGGCTTTGGGGGAAAAATAAATAAAAAAAAATAAAATAAAAAAAAATAAATTATTTGTAATTAAACTCGTTGCAAAAAAAGATTTAAGATTGATTAGAAAGATCCATACAATATGGCAAGATAAATGAGGGTAGGACAGTCAAGAGTGAGGTGGGTGTGTAAAATGTATACTTTGAAGTCCTACATACTTTCTAGAGATGGACTGCAAATTTAGTTTCAATCTTTCCAGAATCCATGTTGAAGAGAACAACTGGTTACAAGACTTGGCCAGTCAGTGTGTCAGAGGTGGCTAATTGTCCCCTAGTGTCCATTGTCCCACACCTTCCTCCTCTCCTCCTTTTTCTACTTTTTCTTCTTGTCCTCAGCCTTCTCCTTTTTTTAAATAACTGCTTTATCACATCTTCTTGTAGTAACAGAATCCCACTCCCTATAGCAGGCAAATAGCTGTCAAGCTAGGCTTGTCTTCCTTAGTTCCCTTGCAGCAAGGTGAGGCTATATGCCTAAGGTTTTACTAATGGGCAAGAGCGAAAGCGATGTAGGCAATTTCTGTGTCATGTCCTTAGAAGGAAATTGCTTAAACGTTAACAACTGATGAAGCTAGGTGAAGGTGTTTACTGCATTATTCTCTCAAACATTCAGAAGGTTTGAGGTTTTTAAAATAAAAAGATGAGGTTAAAAAGAGGAAATTGCTTGCTTTCTTCGTCCTCCCTCTCCCCTTTCCCCATGTTCCCATCCATGGCACATGGATGCAGTGGTAAGCCCCTTCAATCGCACAGGAGAGGCAAAATTCTACCTAGGTCCTTGCTACTCAAAGTGTAGTCTGTGGTCCAGGAGCACTAGCATCACCCAGGAGCTTGCTAAAAATGCAGAACCTCGTGCTTCACTCACCCAGATAGACTGAATCAGAATTTGAATTTAACTAAGAATCTGCATTCAACAGGATCCCTAGGTGATTTATATGCACATTAAAGTTCAGAAGCACTTCCTAGGTGATGACAGAGGAACAACATTCTGCTGATTCCAGGGTCTATGTACAGCCCTTTAAGATGAACTGTCAAAACTGAGAAGGGCATATATGTCCATTCAAACTTTAAAAACACTTTTTTTAAACACAAATGAGAAAATAATAATGATAACTATTTTTGTAGGGCTTACTATGTGCCCTGGATGCACGTACACAGGATCTTATTCATCCTCAGGACAATTGTTTCAGTCAGGTACCGTGTGTTACTACAACGGATATTCAAGGTAGTTGTCCTCTTAAAAAGAACATCTCACCCTCTCCCATTGTGTGTGTGGTGTTCCCCCCCCCCCAAAAAAGGTCCCTAATTGATTTAATCAATTAAGGTCAGCCCATTGTCCCTTGGCTCAGTGATTGGCTCAGATAACCCAGTAAGTGGAAGGGGGCATCTCCTGAGCACAGGGATTGGTTCAGAAACGTCTAATCAGCACCAAGCTCAGTACTCTTGGTCCTCTGAGTCATTGCCTTCCTGGTTTCTTTTTCTCTGTTTTTGATATGTTTTGAGATATTTCTTCCACTTGATCTAACAGACGGCTGGCTTTGTGATGAGCATCCTCTTCTTCAATTAATTTACTGAACTTAAATTAAAAAACGAAACAAAACAAAAACACACTTTTCTGTTCCAGAAAGTTTTGCTGTAATCAAATCTCCTCCAGTCTTTGTATTTGGGTAAAGCTGTCATCTTTCTTCTCCAGAAGTTCTGTTTCACCAGGAGCTGCCTATTCTCAGAGTTCTGCCTGCTCCTCCTTCCTCTGGCTGCAAGGTCACTTCAGGCTTATTATTATTTTTCTCTTGCCTATTCATGACTCTTCACTTTTTGGCCATGGGTCAAGCAGAGACATTCCTAGTGGCACTACCAGTGGGGAGAGCCAGCAGTCTCTACTTGTGTAGTCTAGCCACATTCCAAGTTTCCAACCAGAGGCAGTCCTCCATGGAGCGCTTTAAGGAAAGCTCTCAATTCCTGTCTCCTCAGCTGCAAAACTCTCTCCCAGCCTTGGAGATAAAGCAGCAAAGGAAGCTACCATCTACATGGGCAGGCTCTGCCCTTCCAGAGCCCTGGCTTAATTACTCTGCTAATTATGGAAGTAATACATACTGTAACAAATAAGAATTAATGTTCTCTGCAGCCCATGAGTCTCCAAGGCCAAGATCTCTCCAGAAATTAAGGCATTTAAATTTTCACCTCTCCCCTCTGGTCTCCAGGCTCTCTTCCAGCCCACAGAGGAACAAAGTCAGGTACTGCTCTCTTACACCAACCCTGGGTGACCCCTCGCCCCCATGGCCCTACTCACCTCTCTATCAGTAGATGGAATGGGGTTGGGAGGAGGGATAGCAGGGGCTGGTCATCAGGTTTTCCCACCAATACCCAGACATTCAGATTATAAACAATATTGCAACCTACAACCTTATACAGAAGCCTGCACACTTCGCAGATTATTTTCCTATGAAAAAGTCCCAGAATGTTGGCTGAAATTATTTTTAATTGACCTCATTTTCAATTTGGAAACAAACCCCACGCTGCCTGCCAGAAAGATTTTACCAGTTTATTCTTACACCAAGAGTGAGAAGGCTCCTTTCCCACACATCCTCACCAATATGGGGTATTATCATCCTTACCTCTCTGTAATCTAGGTGAAAAAAATCTCATTGTTTTAATGTGTATTTCTTAGTAAGTTTGATCACGTTTTCCTATTTTTATTAACCATTTATACTTCTTTATATGATTTTTACAGATGTTCCTAACATGATATTTTGATTTTGGTTTAACTTGGGGGGATTTTCTGACATACACATGTTTTTAGAAGTATGCATGCCCACGGTAAATTTTTAAAAGCAGAACAAGAGGATATATGGTGAAAAGTTAGTTTCCCTCTGACTTGGAGTACCAGAGTTCTTCGGGTAACGACTGTTACCAGTATCTTGGTATCCTCTCAAAAATCTTATTTACGTGAACAAGCAATATGATAGTTTCATAAATAAAAAGCAGTGTGAGGGCCGGCCCTGTGGCTTAGCGGTTAAGTGTGTGCGCTCTGCTGCTGGCGGCCCGGGGTTCGGATCCCGGGCGCGCACCAACGCACCGCTTCTCTGGCCATGCTGAGGCCGCATCCCACATACAGCAACTAGAAGGATGTGCAGCTATGACATACAACTATCTAGTGGGGCTTTGGGGGAAAATAAATAAATAAATAAAATTACTAAAAAAAAAAAAAAAAAAGCAGTGTGAGTGAGATGAGAGCCAAGCTTGGATATTGGATTCTTTTCCTTACTTCTTCCCTCACTTCAAGAAAGCTGGGCACTGTACCAAGAGCTGTGGGTACAAATGGTGACTGAGATACATCCTCTGCCTTTGAAAAGATGTGTGATTACAAGATGGTTTGATAAAGATTTCAGCAGAGGCACGTACACAGGACAACGGGACTTTGAGAATGGAATGAGTGAACGCATATTTGCTAAGTGTCTGCTATATGCTATGCACTGCGTTACAGTCCTTCCTGAATGTCCTCATTTACTTTCCCAGTGACCCTGAAAGGTAGGTATTGTCTCCATTTTAC